ATAAGCAGGCGCCGAGGTCGAGAGACAGGATCCCCAGTTCTATAAAGTCTACATTCAGTGCCACCCGCCCAGGAAACACATCTCCAACACGCTGAGGTAGAGACCTCCCTGTCTGTGGGCCTTCACTGCTGACCACAAAGGAGTCTAACAGGCTACATAGCGGAAGCTAACCGACCGGTGAGCAGCCCAGTTATTTATGCCCCAAATATAGAGGTCCACACACCCAATACATCGGCAGGACTTATAACGCGAGATCTGTATGAATGAAGAACAACTTTAACAATGTTTTTAATAACAGCTATGGATTTGTTAATGATGTGCATCGTTAGTGCTGGATAGAAACCAAACCAAAGATACTTGTTGAAAATAGTGCAGATATTCTAGTAAAGACAGGGAAATACATCAAAAGCTATGTAAATGTGTATTAACATTAGAACTTTCAGAATTCAAACGTCTTGCAAACCAGCACCTTATGTACAGCATTTTCTAGCAATTTCAAATCATTTGCACATCTTGTGTCTTCCGAGTTGTGATGCTTTCAAATGCTGCCAATAGTATGCACTTATGCTTGCTAACACCAAGCAGAGGAGAGAAAAGTAAATGTATGCTATTAACCATAACCCGAAACCTGAACATTATAAAGTGCCTTGAAAAAGGAGAAAAGTGCAATTGTGTTGAAGAAATTTAACATTGATGATATACAACATTAAGGTCCAGGAAACAGATCTTATAAAACAGGGATATACTGTACTTTGCATAAAACAAACTTGGAGCATTCAGATAAACTGTTTTAAGGCAGTAGAGGAGCTGTAATATACAACTATATAAACACAAAACAGTGCATAGTGTTGCAAATGTTCATTTCAAAGTAATTTATCAGTAACAGTGAAGCCCAGAAAAGCGAACAGAGTATAAAACCACACCTGCCTCTCTGTAAGGGACTTCAAGTGGTCTATACGCGACTATCAAGTACAGAACAATGTCTTAAAATACTTCTAAGGTACCAAATAATTTTATATCTACAGAATACTTATGAACATTGTGGTGAAACACTTTTTTAACCGACATATTTGCTTAAAAACAGCACCCTCCGTATCCCATGGATGTAGAAGGGTAACACATGTTACTGTAAAATAAGGAACAAGTAATAGGTTTATTCCATGCTGAAAAAAAAGAAGAAAGAAAACACAACGTTTCGGCCATGGAGCCTTCTTCAGGTGTGAGCGGTGTGAGGT